AAATTTAATCCGTTTTAGTAACTTTCCTTAAGTCGCCTAGAATTTTATATAAGTCAGCTCCTCAAGCTTATTTGCAATCGCGTGCTTCATCATCTACTGAAAATATGTAGGGCTCACTCAGCATTCTTATTATATACCAGTTGTTCTTTGTAACTTAATGAAACTGAGCTGTAAATATTAGACGTCGCAAGGTTCTATGTTTTGTCTTCCTTGCCCCATCAAAGGCATTTCTTGGATGGCGTGTATGTCAGCTATAGTCTTCCCGAGTGCATGAAATAGCCGGGCAGAGGCTCCTTCTCCATTATGGGTACGGACATTCCAGGTGAATTCCCTCAAATCATAGTCTTTGAAACAGTCGCGTGACTGTCGATATTGTATCTTTTCATTGGATACTTTTTTCGCATGGCGGGTCTCAACTCCAACGCACTACTCAAAACTGGCGCGATGTTTATTGAGTATACGACAGCATTGTGCTCGGCGGTTTGCCTTTGCCTGTCAAGAGGCGACCATAGGCACCTGTACAGCAATTCGATGGCAGACAAGAAGATGTCTTTCCTAAGAAATAGAACTCAAATAAAGAAAATAATCGCCGTAGACGTGACGTTGTGTGTCTAGTATGAAGATAAATGTGTATTGGTTAATTATTATTAGGTGCAGAATACGGAAAATGGAGCAAGCACAAAGGGCATATCGCTACAAGCTTTATTCCACGCTTTGTCCCCTACTGGAGAGCTTTCTTAAATTAAAGCAACACTTGAGTTGTAAAGTGAATTTATCATTCATCAAGAGAACATTCATAAACATCACATGTGAGGGCACGGTTGCCACTTCATCAAAATTTTGTGTACCACAATATACAAGTAAAAAAGCCCAAAATAAAATAAAATGTACCATTTTTGGTCGTCCAACAAAAATATATACAGTGACTTAAATATTTTTTTATTAAATATTTTTTAATATTCGTAGTGTTTTTCAATCAATTTTTTGTTGCTATTTTTCTATAAAAGTACCGTCCATGCTTTAACAAAAACCCTATACACAGTTTCAAACTTTATACAAAATTTAGGAAAATTCAAATTTTCGTCAAAATTTCAAATTTTAATCCGAATCTTTAGAACATTTTTGGGTATGCAATTTTAGTCTAATAAAGTGCAAGTTTCAAACGCCTAAAAAATCGCTTTAATTTTTGAGACATTTTTTTTGCGACGGATTTTTGTACTTTTTTCCATACAAGCACGAATTTTTTTATGAAATAAAATGCGGGAGACCGTAGGCAACAATATTTCCAAAAATCGACGCCAGTTTTTGTAAATTTCACTTCTTATATAAAAGAAAAACACCGCAAAAGCAGCCTCCAAACAAATTCTCAAAATCAACGAGATTTTTTAGGCGGACATTGGACTAAATTAGTATGGGCTATAAAACTGCATACCCAAAAAATTTGAAATTTTGATGAAAATTTGTCGAATTTTCCAAAATTTTATATAAAGTTTGAAACTGTAAGTGCTGCTTATTCAAACGAACGTTGATCCAAAAGGCCTAAAACAAACAAAAAGGCCCAAATGCCCAAACGGAGCAAAAAGATCCATATTTGGTACAATTGTACCAAAGTGGCAACCGTGTGTATGTAAGTAAAAATGCTAAACAAAAATGTGTAAAGATATCATTAAGACTTCAGCTTCGCATTATAATTTTCTTTTTAAAAACTTTTGAAGAATTTCTATATTTCATACAGGGTGTAAATATTTGCCTCTACGACCCTACCTATCCTAAGTCTCCAAAAAATATCTAGTAATGGAGACCACCCTAATTCTTCTATGGATGGATGCGCTGATCGAGAAAATCACTGAACACTTTATTCCCAAATACATACTTCATTCATTCGTGAGCAAGATTTTCAATTAAATCAAGTTGCAAATATGTATGTATTGGTGTGAAAATATTTCTCAAACATTTTCAGTTTAATTCTTTTTAAAAAAATTTTATTTGCAGCAGATTTTGCCCGTCCGGAGGCTGCAACTCCAGCATAGGAATCTGTACATACATACATTCATATGCAACATTTGTCTGCCTTCATTTCCTGGAATGAACATGCTCCAGAGTCATACGTCATGAGCACATCTTGACAGATCAAAGTGTTTGCGAGTCGCCCTCATCGTTTACTTATAATTTGATGTGATCCATTTGCATTTCGTAAAATAAAAGTAAAAAATAAAAAATATGTGCAGCATCTGTGCTTATTTTTAATAGCCAACTGGAATTTTAATGGGAATTCCGATGCACACACATAATACCTACATACATACATAGTTGTGTTGGTATAGCAGCTTTTTTAAATCGTCAGATATTTTAAACTCAAACAAAAAATATTTTTTAATATTTCATCAGTGGTGGATTAAATAAATTTGTAAAAATCAACACACATACAAACTGTGACAACTGTTTCCTGCTGATAGTTTTTAAGGTGCTATAACAAAATGGTATGCGTATATCACTTCTTTATGGCGGCAATAATCTCCTTTTGGTAATTGACTGATAAAAAAATTTATTTTATGGTTTTACGCAAGGCGAATCTATGCAAGGTGGTGTTATCGGATCCGCTGATTTCACGGCGAATTTGTACCTTTGTCAAAATCATGTGTTTGTTGTAATTTGGCTTTGTACTGATTGTCAGGGAGCGTATAATTTGTTGTAATTTTTGTTTTTGCTCTGTTAACACCACCTTGTATAAATTCGCCTTGTTTTTACGTGTACAATTCTTAAGAGTTTATAAATATGTAGGAGAAGGAAAACATAAATAAGCTTTTTTCAGGCTACTTCTACAAGAATTTGCGCCGATTTAGTTTATTCACGAAGTCAATAGTGCAGAAATCAGATTTATGCTTTTTGGGAATAAAAGTAGAGTTAGTATTAAAAATACTTGGAAGTGTGCAATGTGGTTCGTGATTAAATATAATTTTTTATGGATTCAATAAAAATACCTATAACAGTACATACATACATACGTGGGTTACCACATGGTAACTTTTGGTTTGTGTCAAAAGTCTGACATTTTTAATTAAAAATCCTATAAAAGTAATTCTATCAGTGCGTTCAGTTCTGTGAAATAGGAATTCGGTAGTATTTATTACTCCAAACTCATTTCGCGAAGCGTTCACAAGTAGACAAATTAATTAAAATGCACACTAAAGACATTACATAGCCGCATCGTAAAACTAAGTGTACCTACATATATATGTACATATACATGAAAATACATTCACTAGCATATTCATTCAACTGCATTCATTATCTGTAATTCCATAATTTCTCATACGTATATATATATTTTCTTTATCTCAACGACTTAGTATTGGAAATAATGAAGCTCCATTGTTAATTAATTATGAATACATATTTCTCTGTGCATAAGCATCATTTCATTAAATTAATTGTGTAATTAAGTGAATGCTAATAGAGCGTAGCGTTGAAGGAGTCGAAGTGGAGAAAGCAAGAAAAAAAAGTTATACATAATACTGCAGATGCAGATTTATTTTTATCCAACTGATTCATTTGTAAATTCATGGAATACGCAATAATGTGCAAACATAAATTTATGTGTGTATTTATAAGTAAGCGTAAACAATATACTTGCATGCATCCATATGTATGTACATATATACATAACGTCAACTGAAATGCAAAAAGACGTAACAACATCGTAAATGAAACGGAAGAAGTCGCGATTAATATTTTATTTATTTTTTTTTTTTTTATAAAATAATGTGGGGAGTTGTAATTCGCTGAAATTCATCACATAAATCAAAAAGTGAATTTTAATTTTTTTCATTAGTTATAACTTTTTGCATTTCAACGATGATGTTTATTACGTCTTTTTGCATTTCAGGTGACAATATGTATGTATGTACATTAACATTAATAGATAATTCATATATTTTTTGTTTTGTATATTTGAACTCAATTATTAATTTAAGTTGGACTACTTTTGGTTATATTTTTGGAAACTAGATATTCGCTTCAAATTCCTGTATATTTATTTTACCTGAGAAATCTAAAGCACCAAATATTAAAATCATTATCACATATGAAAATATCTTTAGTTCTGTATCATCTTAGTTGCGCAGATTGTATCACTTTGATACTTTTCTATTTCATATTTTTCTATTTGCCACCTATAGCAGATCACCATACGCCGGCAATTATACACAATGGAGCAGATCAACGCAAGAGCTACGATAGTCGCCCAAAATGTGCGTCTGAATGTATATATGTATACATATGTATGTATGTATGTAAGTGCTCGGCAAGCATTCTCATCACGTTCATGCTGTCCGCCAGTCAGTGAGAACGCAACACTTTGGAATTTCAAAAATGTTATTTTAAATATATATACATATCATTACTATACAAATCTACATACGAACAACCAAACATACATACATACCTGTGGCATGGTATCGCACATATCTACGCATTTATGTACATACATATGTATGTACAAATGTTTGCTAAAGAATTCTGGAGAATCCGAAACTCCTCTTCCGCGTATTTGCAGACATTTATTCCAATACACACACTTTTATTCCTTAAACGCTTTTTACTATTCATAGATCACATAAATTCCAAAAACTCACAACAAAAAAGGATATCTAACAAAATTTCGCAGGAAATACATTTTTATGCCGTAATTGCAATTTTACCGCCGGAAAATGAGTTGTACTTGTTTAGAAACGTCAGTTATGCCGGAAGTCCTGCCACATTGCCAGCGTTGGCATTAAAATGGCCTATATGAGCTTAATGTTTTTTAAATTAAAAGTGTAGAACGATATATGTACTTTGAAAATTTCCCAAAAAAAAACTTGCATAATTGCAACTGTATTAATTTAAAGTAAATAATATAAAAAGTAATTCTTAATTTTTATAAAAAAGTCGCCGAACTGGCAGCTTCAAATTTATTTGTAAACAACAAAACTTTTAAAGCCACTGTATTTCGAACTGTCATTGCAAAAAGATTAGTCATCAGCTGGCGAATTTGTAGCAGAAAAACGCAATTTTAATTGAAAACAATTCCGTAATTATTAAAAAATATAGCTAGTAAAATTTGGGATCAGTTGCTAAAAGTTAAAAAACAGAAGCCACAATGAATCGTTTGTTTGGTAAAGGCAAGCCCAAGGAGCCAGCACCGAATCTGAACGACTGCATCACGGGGGTAAGTGCACGAAAGATAGCACAAACAAATGGTATTGTTATGTTCTAACAAATAAAAATCCAGGTTGATGCTCGCGCAAATAATATAGAGGAAAAGATTACAAAGCTGGACAATGAACTACGCAAATATCGCGAACAGATGTCGAAGATGCGAGAAGGTCCAGCTAAAAACTCTGTAAAGCAGCGGGCAATGCGTGTGCTCAAGCAGAAAAAGGCGTAGGTTTTGATTTTAAACATAATAATATATTGTAGGTTTTTTATAAAACTTATTTACAACTACAGCTATGAACAGCAAGTGGAGGCACTGCGCAATCAGTCTTTCAATATGGAACAGGCAAATTATGCCGCACAATCACTCAAAGATACACAAGCTACCGTAGCTGCAATGAAGGATGGGGTCAAGCAGATGCAGAAGGAATTCAAAAAAGTCAATATTGATCATATTGAGGTAAATATGAATTCTTAGTTGAAATCGATTGATTGTGTTGATGGGG